CTCCCTCGCTCACTGCCCCTCAATTTTCCATCGAGTTATCCTTCAGATCTGAACTGGGGTCACTAGGTACACGCAAATATGTGTGTGCGTGCGCTCTCCTCTGACAATCTGATTAAGTATCCCAGTTGCACAAATCAGGCCAATGACCTCGTTCTCAACGAACAGATTTCTAAACCGTTTGGAGATCGGGGCAGATATCGAGAACCTCTACTGACCTGTGCGTGAATGTGTGATCTTTGATACATGCCTCATCTTTGTTTCGCTTCTCATGATTGACAACTACCAACTGCTTATGAAGCGTGTAATTCCGTAGTGGGCAGTTCGGCTTATTTAACTACCCTGAGGAATCGATTGAATTATTTTCTTTACAAACGAGCAATCCTCCTCCTCCTCATCATCAGCATAATCATCGTCATCATTTTACCAAACTAATAAATTCAGTTCACGTGTTCTTTTATCACACTGTTACATTGAGGAAATTAGCTTGTCATGACTACGACGAACGAAAGAACCAAAACACAAAGCGTTGGTGGCTAAGGCAAGCTAATTTCCTCAATAATCACGAGCACGATGCCCAAGTTTTTCAATGAGATCCGTTCCATCCATGGATGTTGGGTGATTAACACACTGTTACATATTTCGCTCATCGATTAGGCTGGTTTGGTGAATAGCCCAGGGGGAGGAATGAATTCTACGGGAGCGTGTTCAAATGAAATGGGGACAGGTGAAGTGAATTCGTGGGTGATCGAAAGGCTCAGACGGAAGGACACTTGTGTTTAGTAATGTTTGCATTTTAATGAACCTGATATATGTGTGCCGGGGAAAAGGGAAAAGGAAAGCATATGTCAGAATTTGACATTCGAATTGGTCATGCAAATCTCGTATGGTCCGGAAAGTCAACAATGCACATTGCCCAATCCTGTCAACTCCGCGTGGCATCCCGTGGTGAAGTATGTGATCTACTGAGACACATGTGATCGCATGAATAGATGATGGATGAATAACTAATCCCCGGTCAGATCTGTGTGATCGAGAGACCCGGCATCCAAACTGGTCACATCATGATTGTGCTATGGCGCAAACTCGTCAACCGATATCCATTTGTTTCGGAAGAAAAGTGCAGAACATGTGAGTCGAATTGATCCAAACGCTAATCGCAACAAAAACACAAAACCACTGTACACCACCCTCCTCCTCCTCCGCCACTCACATCACGTTCAGGGCATGTTGACTACCACCGGGTGAGACGATCATCGAACTCAGTTGTTTAAGCTTTTTCGGTGGTCAAGCTGCGGTGATTGCTGACTTCGATGGTAAAAGTATGCATGTGCAGACCATCCACATCAAGCAAGAACACATACGATTGCCAGCTAGCACCTGCATTCCATCACGTCCGTTGAATCGAACAGTGTCAGACTAAGATGACAAGAGTCTGTTTTCATGTTTGTGACAAATCTTGTCAACACAGCGATTGACCTAACCGACAGATGGCAAATCAGATCCTTTTTCGATCTACTGTCACCTTCGAGTACACATGGCGAATGGTGATTCAAGGTTATCGACAAGATATCTTGTTCGGGGAGTTCGGATAGATTTATTTAGTCGATAGGGTTCTTCCGGCTGTAGACATAAGCAGTAGCAATACAATCACCATCGCACATGGTCAGACCAATTTCATTTTAATATTCCGCGTGCCTTATGAAGTTACAGTTCTGGGAAGCGGAACGATAAAAACAAGACACGGGCAATAAGCATGCGCTAAGTAATATGATCAATTCTGAGATGGGGATGGGGTATTCATCGGATCGGCCATGCTAATAGATACTCAAGTCAACCACATTTCTACCACTATTTTCCGGTTATCAAAAATATGCGCTCAGCAGAGAGAATACCGACTATTAATTGCTATCCACTGGGAACCTCAGTGCCATTGGAACCTAGTCATAGTTACGAGTAATACCTTTGTACAGTGCCCAGTCTATCAAATGAACTATTAACGACCGAATCAAAAGAGTATCTGGGGAGGAAATTCGAAGGCAGAGTCCACACATGGGTGTGATTTCCACCTGAGCTTCTGGTCTTTTCGCTTTCCAATTGCACGAACAGGTGCTTCCAAATCCGTCGAAGAAACTGCGGCAACTTATTGTTGCATGCTATCTGCTTGTTATTTTACCCTGATCAGACTGTTGAAAAGGGATTGTGCCGGTAGTTGAAACTGAATCTAGCAACATCTCCCACAGAGACCGTAATTTCATGCTGCTGTTTGAGAACCTGATTAGTACGATTCCGCGTGGTTTCCCTAAATGCCAAACGTAACCCCACTGTTCTGCGATGGATGACTGATGTAGTCGAGTTATTTGTTGTATCCCGGAGATCTCCCACAAAGTGAATGATCTTCCTAAACTGGTCTGAAGTTTCACCGGTCATTCTAGTGGAATAGCCCCCGTCGCATCGATAGTATTTCCGCAAATCTTCTTTAATAGTTAAAATAGAATCTCCCATCGGTGTGTTCCTATTCGTTGGGACAATAAGCTTGTGTGTGTGATCCGACTGTTGTACTTCCACCGGAGCACGTGACCAGTAAATGAAACATCGGACAACGCGGAGTTGACGAGACCATACACACACATTCACTGAAGCACGCTTGGGTATCAGCACACAGATTCATCAGCCCGCCCTAAGGGCTTATTTTTTCAAGTGGTGCTTCCCATTTGAAGCTACGAATTTTAGTTCCGTTTTCTGCTCTCCCATTTCACGGCAGTCGTATGCATGCTTGAGAAAAATGAGGATAAGGGATGCGTGTATGGCACGTACTGAGGAGGGGGGTCGGAATGTATGCAGTCAACAGGGCCGCACGAGAGTGTGTGTGTGTGTGTGTGTGTATGAACAGCTGATTAACTGTATCCCATCTGGCTAGGTCAGTGAGAATCAAACTGTCACCCCAACCGCTGTCCCCTTCCGTCTACCAATCCCA